TAAAATTACATAAATTCTATCTAGCATAAAACATTACTCGATTTCAGATTCGGCCACCGATAAGGCCTTCAATTTACAGTTTAAAGCGCAAAACATGAACAGATCATGCAACAGTCAACAGATAGAAATGCACATAAGCTATACACTCAATCAATCAGTTCAGGATTTCAGTCAATCAGTCATTTAACATGCTTAATCATAGATTAGCACTAATCAGTGGTGAGGGTTGTCACAACTGGGCTTTCGTTCACGCTCATTCATGTGTCTGTAGGTGAGCCAAGGGAGGTCCAAACACAGCCTCAGTGAAGTTTGTGTGAAACAATCAAGGTTTTAAAGAGTCAGCCCAAACGTCTCGCGCACGAGACTTGTCTTCGCCACTTTTTTCTTTTTGTTATGGTTTTGTTATATTGGCGAAAACATTGGATCACTTTTGTATATAAACCTTGGGTTTGACCGACTTAGACTTAATGATCCTGTATGTATAGAACTTTGTGTTATTACCTATTTTGGCGTGGGTTATTAACATGTACGTATATGATTTGTTATGATGTGCCTTGTAAGCACAGCTCTATAGACAATTTGTAAGTTTGTTTCCGTTTGGCCCTTTTACTCTGATGAGTTATGTTTAGTTTAGTTTGAGGCCGTAGGTAATTCCTTGATTACTGGCCGGTTATGTCCTTAACCCATAAGGGCAGGTTCGGGTCATGACAGACTGTATAGACCTTGGTGCTGACGGTGGCTTTGATTTTTACATTCTTATACATTTTTGGGAGAACATCGAAGAAGTAGTACCTGAAGAAGAACAATCTTAAAAAGAGTCATCCAGTTCGGAGGCTACCATTTCAGGCATTATGCCTCCAAAGAATTTTTTAGAGATTGCTGCTGCCAGAAAGTGCCTAAGGGCTGGTGAGTCTGCCTCAGTGTCATGACCCAAACCCGTCCCCTATAGGTTTAACATCGTAATCGGCCATTAACCCTTGGTTTACCGAAGGCCTCTGAACAGAATAACGTATATTTAGGGGCTACAGAAGTAATTATATAAAACATACATAGTCCACTAAGCTGTGCAGACATACATTAAACATATAATAGTTTAAACTTATGTGATGTCAAACTGCCATACACATATTATCATAAGGGATTTCGCCCAATGCACAGGTAGAAAAACCAAACGAAAACAAAAGAGCATTTTCATCAGGATCACAAAACTTGACTTCTCAAAAAGGAACCTCCTCGGGAGACACGGCGACTGGCTGACCCAAAAACTCGCCAAGCAGCAGCTTAGGCTTGGTCACATACTTGCTCACCTACATACATAATATAAACAGTGAACGAAAGCCCAGTGAAAAATAATAGAGTAAAGAGTTTTAATGAATGATGTCCATAACATATTCATAAATCAGAGTTCATATCAGAAACATATTCATATTCATATTCTTGTTCAAGTCAATTGCAAAAATTAGAATTTATACTTAATCTTACATCCATTAGCGCTGACAGATCACATACCGAACATCGACAATCATACTTGTCAGTTCCATAGAGGAACTTCCGGTCAGGTACGGATAACTTGTCAGTTCCATAAAGGAACTTCCAGCTGGGTACAGATAACTTGTCAATTCCATAAAGGAACCTCCAGACCGGGTACGGATAACTTGTCAGTTTCATAAAGGAACCTCTGATTAGGTACAAATAACTTGTTAATTCTATAAAAGAACCTCCAGACTGAGAACAGATAACTTGCTTGAGCCCCAAATACTTGTCAAAAATTAGACAATCATTCATTGTACAGAATATAACATTTCATAGAAAAAATCTTATTTCATCATACAGAAAATAATTAAAGTTGAATTTAGCTTTATTAAGTTATTATTCATAGTTGGCTCTAAGCAACAAACGTAGTAGGCAAACCAAATATCTTGTGGCACGTGACCTACACAGATACAAAACAAATACGTACTGAATTACATACCTGGAATCCTTAACTTAGTTCTTTCTTATCTTGGTGTGTTTCTACTTCTTATCCTTATTATTATGCCTTAATCTTGGCCTAGAAATGCCTAGGATGCAATAAAGGTGCTAAAATGCGCTTGGAAACACTTAATAAAAATTGCTAGAAAATAGGGGTCTCATTTAAGCATAACTTCCTTCACTCGAGCAGACATGCAAAATATGAGTGGTCGCTCAAGCGCAACTTCTATCGCTCAAGCGGTTTGTAAACTCTGCAAAAGTATTGGTTAGGTGAATTCTCCAGTCGACGGCTACTCGACGATCGCTCAAGCGTGAGACTGAGGTCTTCGCTCAAGCACAACTCTTATCGCTCGAGCGGTCTGCAAAAACATAAAATTCTGGGTGCTTGCATTTCACGCTCGAGCAAACTTTTGGTCACTCGAACGGAAGTGCAAGATCACAGAGTGGTCGCTCAAGCGGAGAGATCGAATTCTGGAATTTTCAGATTCACCTCTAAACTGCAAAACTCAACTTCAAAGCTACAATTTACATCCTTTTGGGCCCAAAACTTAAGAAAACATATGTAAACTTGGAAAACATCATGAATTCAAAACCATTTCGTAAAATCAAGGCCCAAAAGCTTGCCAATTGTGCAAAACAACACTTAATTCTTTGAAAACATAACATATAAGCTTTACCTTGACTTCAAAGTTTCCAAAACATGATCAAATGAGGTGTCTAACTCAAAAACATGTTGAATTCTTAGAACAAGGCCAAAATGAGGACATGCAAAGGAAATTCTTTAAATTCATCTACAAAATCATGAGAATTATACATGCATGCAAGATATGACTCAATTTCATTAATTCTAACTCTATCCTTGTATCATCCAACTTAATTCTCTAGAGTTCATGTCCTACACATCGTAATTGTGCAATCTAAGGGTTGAATTTTTACCTAGGCTTGTCAATGTGAGAGCTAGAAGCTTGATTCTTGTGTTTCTAAGTTCAATTCCTTCAATTTCTATCAAATTCCTCCCAATCTCAATTGTTGATATCAAACTCTCACTCTTGGTCTCTTTCTCCCTGTCTCTCACATTGTATAGGCTCAAAATGATGAGTAGAAAGTGACTCAAAGCGGTGTATAAGGCTTTTATAGGCTTGGTTAAGGAAATTAATTAATTCCACTAATCAACTGAGTATTAATTATTCTAATTATTTCGCTCCGAATCGAATTTCAATTAATCCTACCACAATGTTCTAAAAATTTTAGCTAACACATATATCAAGTCAATTTCGTGATCAATTCGCAGAACAAAACAGAAATAGAAACAGAAACAGATATTCCTACCGCAGACAGATATAAACACAAATAATTCAATGCACATGTAATTAAATCATAATTTCATCTTAATTACTTATTAGGTATAGTTAAGCATGGATTAACGTTAATCATGAATTGAGGTTATTACAGTCTTCCCCCTTAAAGAGTTTGGTCCTCCAAACTCGAATTACCATCATTTTGGAAGAATATCATATCCAAAGGAAACAATTCAGGGTATCTCCTCATCATATCTTCCTCCATTCCCAAGTTGCATAGGTCTCTCCATGGTTTTGTCAATTAAGTTTTACCAACGGTATATCTTTGTTTCTCAATCTTTTGATCTGGCGGTTCACAATTTGAATTAGTTTTTCCTCATAGGTGTAGTCATCTTTCAAAAGCACATGTATTGGTTCAATGACATGTAACGGATCTCGTAGATAGTCTCGAAGCATGGAGATGTGGAAAACATTATGCATATGTTCCATGATCAGCGATAAGGCTACCCGATACGTCACTAGGTTAATCTTCTCAAGGATTTCGTATGGTCCAACATATCTCTTTGCCAATTTGCCTTTCACTCCAAATTGCGTTTGGCCTTTCATCAGAGTTACTTTGATAAACACGTGATCCCCGACTTCATATTCTCTATCTCTTCTTCGGACATCCGCATAACTCTTTTGGCGACTTTGTACAGTTTTCAATCTTTGTTGAATCAATTTCATATTTTCTGTTGTTTCTTGCACAAGTTTCGGTCCCAATAAAGATCTGTCACATACTTTAGCCCAACAGACTAGAGAACGACATTTCCTACCGTATAAAGCTTCATAAGGGGCCATACCGATACTCGAATGGTAGCTATTATTATACACAAATTTGGCCAATGGTAAGTAGGTCTTTCAATTGCCTTGAAAGTCTAACATACACATCCGTAACATGTCCTCCAATGTTTGAATAGTCTGTTCAAATTGGCCATCTGATTGTGGGTGATAAGCACTACTCAATCGAAGTTCAGTCCCTAGAGCCTGTTGCAAACTCTGCCAAAATCTTGACGTGAACTTCGAATCTCTGTTAAATACAATGGATATGGTACACCATACAATATCATAATCTTATTCATATAAATGTTAGCCAGCTTGTCCGTATTATAAATAGTTTTAACAGGTAGAAAATGAGCAGATTTCGTCAAACGGTCAACTATGATCCAGATAGAATCTATACCTCGAGAAGAGTGAGGCAATCCCACAATGAAGTTCATGGTAATGTGCTCCAATTTCCATTCCAGTATTGGAAGCGGCTGTAGCAAACCAGTGGGTCGTTGATGTTCGGCTTTAACTTGTTGGCAGTGAAAATATCCAGCCAAGTCAATTTCATGATCGGATGCTGATAAGGCCTTCAATTCACAGAACAAAATAGAAATAGAAACAGATATTTCTACTACAGACAGATATAAACACAAATAATGCAATGCACATGTAATTAACTCAGAATTTCGTCTTAATTACTTATTAGGTATAGTTAAGCATAGATTAACGTTAATCATGAGTCGGGGTTATTACACTCAGCCTTCCAAGCTGTTTCTGATTTTACTGCCACTAATCTGCCCCGTGGTCGCTAATCATGGTAATGGATATTTTTCTGCCCTCTTTTGTCGTGGCCTCTACTGAAAATGTTCATCCTCATCCATCCAGTCAGAGGTCAAGCATATGTCTTTCTGACCAAGTGATATTGGTTCGTAAAAAGATCTGATCAGATTCTTTTGTTGCTATCGATGTTATTATCTCTTTTGTAGCCTCTGTTTCGGAAACAGTGGCCGCAGGTTCGTCGATCATCTTTATACCTACCCTAAAGGATTGCTCGATAATGAACGCTGATACAACTATAGGCAGTGCCGAAGTTACATCCGCCATTATACGCAACTCTATCTTTCATACGGATGTTGCTCGGCAAGCCAAACAATCTGACGTGGCCGTTTTCTCGCAGGCCTTACACTTCTCCCTAGTGGTAAATAGTTTTGTCATTATTCTCATTGCTCTTTGGTATTTGTGGATTTCCTCTTGCTTTATATCTCTCCTCCTGTTGTTTTTGCAGGGTCTGTTTTCTACTTATGAGGCTATGGCTTATCATGATAGAATGATTAAGGCAACCGACAAGCTGAAGACTTCTAGGGATAGGCAAAATGAGAGAGTAAATGAGCTGGAGCTTTGGCTGGTAGCATCTGAAGGTAAGACAGCTGAGGTTGAGAAGAAACTTCATACAATGGATTTTGTGCTGAAGTCTTCGTCACAGGAGATTATTGCTTTGAAGGAGGAGAAAAAGTAACTTTTTGTTGCTCTTTCTGCTTCGAAGACAAGTCTTTCGAATGGGGTGAATGCTACCAAGGAGGAGGGATGTAATGAAGCCACTGCCATCTATGAAGTGTGGTTCGCCAAGTTGGAGAACATACTGTTTGAAAACGAATGGATGTCTGTAATTCTTTTGGTGGTTGGTTGTTGGTGATAAAGCGTGAGATGAACGCTTGCTGCAATTGCTTCCAGTCACTGACTGATCAGACTTCTAGTTTATAATACCATAAAAGTGCCATCTCACCTACGCTTGAGGAGAACATTCAGTACATGATTGGATCATTATTGCTTCACAATGTCATGGCTTGAGTATAATGCTGAATGTGGCTAGTCGGATTTCTTTTGCCATCATATAGGTTAAACTTTGGTGAGGTGAACCTCTCGGTGGGTTGACACTATCTATTACTCGGGAGAATAGCGAAGCTAGTTCTTATGTGAAGAGCTTTCTTCGAACGGGCTTAGAATTTCCCCATGTTCATCCATCAAGCCAACTTCTCAAGTCATTCTTCTGGTAATCCTTGGAGTCCTCTCTTCAGGTGACCTAGCGCTTTCTCTGTGTCCGATCAAGGTGGCTGCTAGCTGTTTGGCTGGCCGTTCCCTGAGGACCGGTCTTCCTGTGAATCTCGGTAGTCTTTATTTGGGTGTTGGGTTTACTTTAGGCCAAGCATAGTTCTTCTTTGAGGGCTTCGACTTGTGCCACCAACTGATCTATGAGTTGAGCTTGTTGATCTTCATTATCTGGCGAGGGGATTATTTTTTCTAAGTCTTTGGGTGCCACTTTGGAATTATGGCCGAAGTTTAGACTCGCCATATTTTCGATTGGTGTGTTTTGATGATCGCTTAGTATTTCTTCTAGAGAATGATAGGTTATCTTCTCATCCTTTCCACAGAAGGCGTCAATTGTGAAAGATAAAAATCTTCTCCACAAGGAAAGCGAGATGAAGTGCTCATTTATTTACTTTACAAAGAGAAACCAATTCATTAGTGATCACTCCCGATCAGAGATGGTCGGGAGGATCCTTCGACGGTCAAGTTAGAATGATATCCTGTCATATGGTCTTTTGTTAAAAAGAAAGACTTGTCTTCTTTTTTGTTACCTCTGCTGTTTTTACTTATTCCTCTTTTTATAATGTTTTTGTCTTGGGCTTCGGTCATTGGATTAGTATCTAAGGGCTCTACTTGCTACCAGACTTTAGTCAAGCAAGTGGCCAGGTTGTTTTGATCCTTTACTGTTGGATCATCTTGTTGTGTGTGGCTTAGATTATGTCAGGCGTTAGTGGCCAACTTGTCGATTGCTCCCTCCGTCCGATTAAGTTCATTATATGGCTGTGTCGTTTAGGTATGCTGAACCTATGCCCCTATCTCTTACAATTGTGGTCCTCACCGTTGATTATGAATGGATCTAAAGGCATCCTTGCATTCTGTAGATCTCTTTCTAGAAGGCGATTTTTATTCAAGCTTTGGTCACTTGGCACTGTCTCTTCATCTAATGGACCTATCGATAACATGGTCTTTTCTCTTGATTCGTCCTACTTGGTTGGACTTGGGCTTTGGGCTAATGTTTTTGCGTTTGAGTTTCAGATAAATATTTTTACTCTTCCACAACCACTAGTCATACTAAAAAAAGATTAAACTAGTTCATACATGTTCATCACAAGAAATAAGATGGGACATGATTAAATTGATTTAGGGAAGAGTGGTGAGAAATAATCTTGGATCACCTTGTTTGATTAATGCTGGTTAAATTTTTTATAAGAATTTTTTATCCTTATATCATAAGATTTTGAATATGCGGGAACAATTAAAGCAAGATTATTGATTTATTAGGTAGTGTTTGGTTTAGCTTTAGAATCATAATTTAATAATGGAATTGTATTTTGAGTTTGTGAGTTGTTAAATCATGATTTGAAAAGAGAAAATTTGTATGATTATGAGTTTTGAAAAGAGTTTTGAATTTTTGAAATGAAAAAAATTGTTTAGTTATGAATTTTGAAAACTTAATTTAAAAACTTATAACTCTTAACTAAACACACAATTCAAAACTTTATTGAAAATTCTATTCAAACCTCATAACCAAACTCTTTTTAAAATTTAATTCAAAAAAATAATTATTGAAAAAAATAATTTTTTTATTTAAAATATTAAAAAATATATATATATATATATATATTATTTTTTGTTTAAAAAAATATTTAGCTAGTGCTTTAAAATTACTTTTGATTATATATTTGGTTGGAATTTTTTTTAATTATTTTGTTTAAGAACAGCCTAAAAACAATAATTTTTTATATTTAAAAAATATTTAAAATAAATATAAATTTTTTGTTTTCAAATAACAAGTTACAATTGTAAAAAAAAAAAAACTGTTCTAGTCAACCAACCAGACGTCTAGAGGATGTCCGAACGGACGACCGAGAAGACCTAATCCGCAAATTCAAAATTTAAAAACTCTACTCTGCTAAACATGCATTGGAATGTGTATTCAAATGTGACTTTTGAATCAAATTTTAAAAATTTAAATCAAATATAGAATTCAAATATAAAGGTAAAATTATGATTTGAAACTTAAACCAAACTGTTTTCCCTAGAGCATTCATCAGATACACAAATTAATCTTTGCATAAAGCTTAATGAAAAAATTATTCTGATGGAACATTTCCGAATGGTCAAATTATGTCTTAAAAATAAAATATTTAATTTAAAAATATATTTTCAGTTAATTTTAATACAAATATATTTATAAAAATCATTAAAAAAAATAGAATTTGATCTTTATAACAAAATAAATTCTGAAATTTTAATTTTATCAATTTAAATCATAATATTTTCATTTATTTTTAATTTAAATCATGTGTCTATTTTGTTAAGTAAAGTTGATAAAAAAAATATTTTAGACATTTTATATAAATCTATATTGAATTTAATGACTAAAATATAATTTTTTGTGTTGGTTTTACTTAATGAAATTAAATAAATATTTTAAATTAAAAATAAATAAAAAATTATAATTTAAATTGACAAAGCAAAGAACTCAAATTATTTTATTGTAGAAATCAAATCTTAATTTTTTAAAAAATAAAATTTTCAATATAATTATTAATGTCCAATTAACTTTTTTTCATTTTATTTTATGAATTATGCGAATTCATGCCAATAAACCAATCAAATCAATTTCAGGAAATCCAGAATAAACCGGCCATCCAATTAGCGGACTTCATAAATATCTGGCTGTCTGATGAGAGGTTATTGGTTAGTGCTGAATACCGTGCCTCTGGCCGTCTTTAATGGTGTATCAAATTATATATCAGATTTAAAATTTGATAAAAAATTTATTTTTTTTTTATAATAGTTTCATCAAATTGATATTAAATTGAAAATTGAACAAAAATTTTACCAAATTGAGAATGGTCTGGGTCTTTCATCAAAATACTATTTATTACCGTTGTATTTTCACTACCGAATAACCCACCAGATGACCCACCGAATGACCAATTTTGAGCAAAATTTTGTACAAATTTTACACTGGGATCCACCCCCGGATGACCCTTAAGCTTGAAAATTCAATTACAGAATTGTACAGATTTTGCTCTTTCCGGTCGACCAGCCAGTTGACCGGCCGTCATCCCCCGGATGTCTGGTACGTTTTGATGAAAGTTACAGTATACCATTGGAGTGATTAATATCAGATTGAGCCAAATGCCTTTTTTTTACTCAAATTTAGGCCTTGTTTGAGAACTCTCCCTTTTAGTCAAAAAGTCAAAAAGTTACTAAATTAGCAAAAAAACCAACAACCCATACCAAAAAGTCAAAGATTCTCTTTTATCTCTACTTTTTGCACATCTTTTCGTAAAAAGTCAAAAAGTTATCCCAAACGTACTATTTTTTAGCTCATATTTTAGTCAAATAATTAAAAAATTACTAAATTAATCTGTTCCCAAACGAGACCTTAGTAAAAATTTTGTTCAACCGATGGAGATGCTCTCACTTCTCTTCTGCTGGTTAAAATTCATGACTGTGGGTTTGGTGTGAGTTTCTAATTAACTTTTCATCTTTATATTTGAATATTATGTATGGTTTTACTTTTTAAATTATGATTTTAAATTAATTTTAAAACATATTTTTGCAAACATGTTTGATAAATTAGATAATTTTTGAATTTTTGGTTGATTCAGTAATCCCCTGACATCCTCTGGATGTCCGGCTAATTGACCGGAACAGTACTTTTTCTTTTCCTTCTTTTTTTCTTTTTTTTTTTTGCAATTACCAATCACCACCTGTTATTTAAACAAAAATTATATTTTTTTGATATTTTTTAAATATAAAAATTATTTTTTAGACCAAAATGACAAATTATTTTTTTGAATTGAATTTTAAAAAGAGTTTGGTTATGAGTTTTGAATAGAATTTTCAATAGAGTTTTGAGTTGTGAGTTTGGTTATGAGTTATAAGGTTTTCAATTAAGTTTTAAAAACTCTTTTCAAAACTCATAACCAAACAATTTTTCTCAATTCATATGTCACATCAAAAATTCAAAACTCATAACCAAACAATTTTTCTCAATTCATATGTCACACCAAAAATTTAAAACTCATAACCAAACAAATTTTCTATTTTCAAATCATAATTCAAAAACTCACAACTCAAAATACAATTATATTAGTAAATCATAATTTTAAAATTTTACCAAACGCTACCTATAATTTTGTATTAAGTAATTTGAAAATATAAAAAGACATAAGAATTTATGATTAATTAAAAATATAGTAACATAATACTTTTGAACCAACCAATAATTTTTCTTGTCTATATATATATTTTTAATTTTTTTCTAAATCCTTTGACGTGTTGTTACAACACATATTTGGTTTGAGTTTTTGGATTAAATTTTTTAAAAATTGAGTTTTTTGATTTTTTGTATTTTTTTGTTTTTAATGAATATTTTTAAAATTTTAAACATTTTTTTTTTACTTTTTTAGATGTACCTTACTTAAATATATCTAAAAAGTAAAAAATTTGTGAAAAAATATTTTAAAAAATTAATAAATACATAAAAATACAAAAAAGTATTGAATTTTCGTATTTTTTTTGTATTTTTGGTATATCTTAAAAGTAAAAAAAATTGGTTAAAATATTAAAAAAATTCAACAAAAATAAAAAAATATGAAAAATAAAAAAATAGAATTTTTTGAAAAATATTTTAAAAAAATGAAACCGACCAAGTCATGGAAAGTTATTGGTTAGTGTTAATGTCTCATTATAGAAATGTAATACATCGTAATGATTTAATTAATAATAATCAAATTAAAATATCACTTTAACTTATCTCAGAAATAAGGAGTTGTTTGAGGTGTCCTAAATAAGTGTACTTTTTATTTTTTTAGACTAAAAAGTTGAGGTTGAAAATATGAATGTTTGGGTTAACTTTTTGACTTTTTATAGAAAAATATGTATTAAAAAATTGTATAAATTAATGTGTATAGAAAAATTAATATTGAGAGTTGTGCAACCGTAATTGTTGACTTTTGATGAATAGTGATAACTTTTTTAACTTTTTGAGTAATTTTTTGACTTTTTGACTTTTTTGAGACTTTCCAAACTTGGCCTAAATAATGGGCGTGTTTAGTTTATGTTTTAAGATAATTTTTTTTAAAAAAATTTAGAGACAGAGTTTAGAATTTTTTTTAAAAATTGTTTGATTGTATATTTTGAAAATAGTTTTAGAATTTGAGAGTTTGAAATGATTTGATATTTTGTTATAGTTGAATAGATGTATATGAGAAAAAAAAAGATTGAAAAGGAGAGAGAAGAGAAAAAAGTAATTAATTAATATGTAGAACAAAAAAATTAATTAATTTTTTTTTAAAACATTTAAACTAAACAAAATTTTAAATAAAAAATTTATATCTTGAGATATAAATCAAACGACTCTAATAATTTTTTCATTGTCATTAGCCCTGTTTAGTAAGACTTATTTCCAGTTTATTTCAGTTTTTAGCTTAATTTAAGCTATTTTGATTTGTTTGGTTTAGTTTAACAATACACCTTATAGTTTTTTGTAAGTCAAAAATTCATTGAGTGGGGGAAGAGAAACTTAATTTATAAGTCAAAAATCAATTTATGTTTACAGCTATAAGTTATAAACTGTTAAGTTATAAGTTATAGGCCCTGTTTGGCAGAGCTGTGGGAAAGTACTTATAGTTTATCCCTTAACCGCTTATAACTTATAATTATGAACATAAGTTGATTTCTGACTTATAAATTAAGTATCTCCTATCCCACTCAAAGAATAAACTGATTTATGACTTATAAAAAGTTATAAATTATATTATTAAGTTAAATTAAACATATCAAAATAATTTAAATTAAACGGACTGGTGGTTGAGTTTCGCCACTACAGTACGAAACCACACTCTGATAGTCTCTCTTTAACCCCTACATATTTTGCCCTTCCTTCCATCCATCCATCCATCCATCAATTACGCTGTGGGAAAGTACTTATAGTTTATCCCTTAACAGCTTATAACTTATAATTATGAACATAAGCTGATTTCTGACTTATAAATTAAGTATCTCCTATCCCACTCAAAGAATAAGCTAATTTATAACTTACAAAAAATTATAAACTGTATTATTAAATTAAATCAAACACATCAAAATAATTTAAATTAAACGGGCTGGTGGTTGAGTTTCGCCACTACAGTACGAAACCACACTCTGATAGTCTCTCTTTAACCCCTACATATTTTGCCCTTCCTTCCATCCATCCATCCATCCATCAATTACTTTCCCCCTATTCCATTCCCATATCCCATATCCCATATCCGTAATTACCTCCACAAAAGAGGGCATTTTATCCTCCAACACTCTCCAACACCTGACGCCGCACTGCAACTCATCAACACCGCCACCCCCAACAATCCGTTATAGAGAGAGAAAATAAGGGAGAATCAAATTCATCAAATTTCATGCTCTGTTAAATCGATTGATTCTCGATCATCGGGATGGCGGTTCCGGAAGCCGATCGCCGCCGTACTAGGGATCGGCCGGCGGTGGTGCCGCCTGTTCGACCGAGAGTGCCTCTGAGGAAGGTGTTCAGAGTAGCCTCAGTGGCTTGCGGAATACAGTTCGGATGGGCTCTACAGCTCTCTCTCTTGACTCCCTACGTTCAGGAGCTAGGGATTCCTCACGCCTTCGCCTCCGTGATATGGCTCTGCGGCCCGATCTCCGGCTTCTTCGTGCAGCCGCTGGTCGGCCACATGAGCGATCGCTGCACCAGCAAGTTCGGCCGCCGGAGGCCCTTCATCGTTGCCGGAGCCGCTTCGATTATCGTCGCCGTTGTCATCATCGGATACGCTGCCGATATTGGATGGTTGTTTGGTGACAGAAATAGAGGCGAAGTTAAGGTGGCTGCGATCTGTGCGTTTGTGGTAGGGTTTTGGTTGCTCGATGTTGCTAATAATGTGACTCAGGGACCTTGCAGAGCTCTGCTTGCCGATCTCACAGGTAAAATCAATATACTTCTTGTTGTTGGTTGAAATTTTGGTTTTATTGTAAATATTCGTTTATTTGGTGCTGAATGAAACCCTAATCAGTGTTTCCAAGGATTGGATTGGAGAGGCTTGCCAAAAACAACTTGTTTAGCTGGTGAACCGGAATAAACCGGGTTCGATTGAACCATACGGTCCTGAAAAATCAAAATTAGCATTTAAAATCAACGCTATCTATATCCATCATTGCTTTACCAGTATCAAAAGTTACGACAGCTTCCATGTCTGTGCTTGTTTGTACCAATCGAAGAAAAAAAAAATTTATAAAAATATCACATATCACATGTGGCATGCATACCCTTACAGGGAGTGCGTACTGTAGAATTTTCCTTGGGAGACACACATGTCATGGTTTAGATACAAGAATAAATTTCACTTTAGTCCTGTGGTATAGATCATGTGCACATGATGTCATTTAGACAACCTTCTTTTTTTTTCTCGATTCAAATTTTTTATTTTTATTTTTTTGATTAAAGATGTCATTTAGATAACCATTTAATCTTCTCTGGGCGCTGCACGTTAACCACACTTACAAATTTATGTACATATCCTCATCTTCTTCTTCTCTTCTGAACTGATCCTTTCGATTTACACTTGGTAGTATATGTTATGTAGATAATTCCTTGTCATTTTGAAAATATAGGCACGTGTAATGCATTTATTGGTAATTTAGATTAAAAAATGTGACATTGCATTTTAGTCTGCAACCCACCGGGGTTGAAAATGGTTATTTTCAAATGATAGGGAGTTATGTGCACATGCCATATATAACAGAGGGAGTAATTGAAATTTGCCCTAGATATGTAAGTCTGAAAATTTTGAATTGAGAAACATAGATAAAATAAATAACTAATTACATAGATGTCACCCTGAGGTATCCGAAAATTATAGGGATCTCCACCGAGTTTTCTAAAATTACGTTATCTTCCTTATTTTATTTGTCAATATACACGAACCTTTCCTCTGTTAAGTTACTGTTAATAATTTTCATAACGTCAACCATTTTTAAGTGTTTTAGTACCAAAATTATCCTTTGCTTGTGATAGGGGGTTCGGGAGTCATTACACATAAATAAATAGATAGTGGGTTGCTTATGATGGTGATGAAGTGGTTGTTATCACACTAAAGAAGGTAATAGTGAGAATCATGACCATCCCGAAGAAAGTAGCGATGGAGGCTTTCATGTATTGTTTACAAACATGTTTAACTACCTTTTTATTTTATTTTATTTTATTGCATTTGACTTTTGTTAAAATTTTGAAAATTATGGTTATTATATTAAAGATAAAATCGCAAGTATGTGTGATATGTTAACACCACCAAACAAACTCTAATCGGGGAGTTAGTGTAATTTTAGTGATTACAAGGGTGTTTGTTCTATTTTTAATGTACCAAAGGGCCTTAGTAAGTTATCTTGTTTTTCCTTTTGTTTTTATTATATTTTGTAAGCATTATGTAATTGTGGTATCACTATCGGTAGGTCTTGCAGCCACAACTAGAACTATTGGTTGTGTCACATACCTATAGAATTTTTGTAATTGTGTAATTGCTAGCAAGCATGGTTTTAATTGTAATAGAGATCAAGGGAAAAGTTGCAATTGTAGCTAGCTAAGAAGTGCAAACACTTGTAAGAAGGTATTGTGTCTGTTTCTGACATTGACACTTGTCAAACACTTCCAAATATGTCTTATTCTTTTTTCTACTCGGTACACATTTTTCAACACTTGGGGGGACATATGTATCTTGTAAACACACATGAAACATATTATAAGTTTGAAGAAAATAACTTGGGATTGAATGATAAAAGAAAAGTAATATAGATTTACCCTTATTAATCCTTACTTATTTAGACTTTAGAAATTAGTGTTATGCTTCATTTTTTGTATTATCTTTAAATGAAATATTGATATATATGTCATATAATAAATATAGAAAATTTTATATTTTTGCAAGTGTCTCCCATGTGTAATGTGTAATGTTATGCATTTTTTGAAAATTATCATGTCAACATGTCCATGTTGCGTTTTTATGTCTGCAGTTCTTAGATATCTAGTAAACCATTAACACATTGCCAATGCACATATTTAAACACTAAAGTTTACTACTCAAAAAAATATTTCAGCACTAAATTTAAAACATTTTTAATGTTTATACTGATTATTAACAAATTTTTAGCACTTGAATATATAGTTGTTATAAAAGCATTTTATATCCTTTAATAGTTGGTGAATGGAGACACTACCATTTATTGAGGCATTGACCTCACTACATTTCATACTGAAATTGATAAACCACAACTTAATAAACTTATTTCAAAAAAATATTTCAGCACTAAATTTAAATTTTTTTTAATGTTTATAATGATTATTAGCAAATTTTTAGCACTTGAATATATGGTTGTTATAAAAGCATTTTATATCCTTTTTTAGTTGGTGAATGGAGACACGACCTTTTATTGAGTCATTGACCTCACTACATTTCATACTAAAATTGATTAACCACAATGTAATAAACTTTATCAACTTCCTTTTGGAAGCTTTGTTTTTTATGTAATCTTTAGGGGGAGAGCATAAACAAAGGTTTTTGGGTGGGCTAGAGCAACTTGTCTTCAAGTTGTACGGTAGTTTTTTTAAAGGAAATCATAATAGGGTAGGGCAGGCTCTATTTATTTTATCCTTTACCAAATAGATATTACACTAGAAGATAAGAATGATGCACCTAGCATTGATTTCTTTGTTAGAGAAAATATTATTTAGGTTATATGCAGCTTTTGTGGTTTTCTTTTGAAAAAAACGCCAGCTCCACTCCTTTGCACCAGCACATGCACTTGTCTGTTAAAAAATTTGCAAAGAAAAAATGGATGTTTGCATTCTTGAAACTTTCTTTCATTTTAGGTAACGATCAACGCAGAAATCGAGTGGCAAATGCATATTTTTCACTGTTTATGGCTGTGGGTAATATACTTGGCTATGCTACTGGATCATACAGCGGTTGGTTCAAGATTTTCACATTCACAGTCACCTCTGCATGCGATGCTAACTGTGCCAATCTCAAGTCTGCTTTCTTTCTTGACATTGCTTTCATTGCTATCACTACATATATAAGCATTTCAGCCACCGATGAGCTGCCCCTGAACCATGGGTCCTCCCACTTGCATGAACAAATGCCTGAACAGTCGAGCCATGCTGAAGAAGCTTTCTTCTGGGAACTGTTTGGAACATTTAAATATCTCTCGGGGCCCATTTGGGTTATCTTGCTTGTTACTTCTTTGACTTGGATTGGCTGGTTTCCGTTTCTTCTCTATGATACTGATTGGATGGGTCGAGATATATATGGAGGTGAGCCAAATGAAGGGAAGAATTATAATCTTGGAGTCAGCATGGGCGCATTTGGTCTGATGTTGAATTCAGTGCTTCTTGGTACAACTTCATTGCTCATGGAGATATTGTGCCGGAAATTGGGGTCCGGTGTTGTGTGGGGGATTTCAAACATCATGATGTCTCTGTGCTTTGTATTAATGATCATAATTTCCTACATTGCAAACAATATGGATAAAGTAGGTGATAATCTACCTCCAAATGGTGTTGTAGCTGCTGCAGTAGTAGTTTTTGCTATTCTTGGGATTCCTTTGGCAGTAAGTTGCTCCATTCTCCTTAACAAGATTATTGTGTCATCTTCTGGTCATTTGCTCACAGAATTTAAAGGAAAAATTTCAAAAATTAACTGCCTTCTCTTGTGGAGTTTTAAATACTTTTTACAGTACCAACATTTTCACCTATAAAAGTCTTGTTTAATTCTCAAACTAATTATTGAAAAATCTAAGAGTCCAGAATCTCCAGATATTCATTTTTAACAATTAAACATTCTCAAACTGTTTCAGTTTCTGAACCAATGAGGAGGAGGTCATAGTGAGTTTTGTTTTGTTTTGTTTTTGTTTTTGTTTTTTCAATCGGTAAGAGGGGAATAGGGAAAGGGGAAGTTGCATTGTGTAGCTGTTGTGAGATTTGAACCTAGACATTGGGATTGCCTTGGACTAGAGTGAGGTTGACAGTTCCGATATTTTCATCTAAATATTCTTTCAGTGGTGCTGTGAATTTTGATAGAATTCTGTTTGACCATGTGATTTGTGTTTCCTGAAACAATTCTTTGCAGATCACTTACAGTGTTCCATATGCCTTGATATCTACACGTATTGAGTCTTTAGGACTTGGCCAAGGTGGGTTATTATTGGATGCTTTTACTTTTGTCTTTGCAGATGTGGTGATTAGAGTGCTTATGTTGATGGTTTAATCTATTGCAGGTTTATCAATGGGTGTTCTGAATCTGGCAATTGTGATCCCACAGGTATATTTTACTGTTGCCTTGTTATTTTTTGGTACTGGTAATAAATATCAATCGGTTCCTTTCCTTTTTTATGCACCACAAAATTAAAATGGCATGAGTTGGCAGTCTTACAGAATCTATTTAATAACTAATTGCATGGTGAATCAAAATCATAATTTTGACAATCGTGAATTGAATTGAATTGAAAATTATAAGATATGACTATAAAAAAATAATGTTGGACAATCATATATATGAAAAAATAAAATAAATTGATTTTGGCATATGCTATACAATAGTTCTTATATAAGGGCACAATTACACCGTCTAATTGGGAAGACGTTGCCTTCATAGCGAAGGAAATAGATAATTATAATAATTTTCATCTTTTGCCAACCCACCAAAAGCACATTGAAGCAACCTTAACATCATGCTTAGGCAATTGTATAATGACATGTTTTGATTATTTTCCAAAATAATGAGATTCACATGAAGCATGCAATTCAACTGCCCCTAGCTAGAGGACAGTGTCTTTACTGATTATGAGAGATTTTCACGATTGGTTTTCTTTATCCTTGCAATATGTTTAGCTATTGTTTTTATTGGTGCTTCTTGTTTAACCTTTCTACTACCTGTTTTAAATAAGTGAAAGGAGTGGACTTGTCTAATAGAATGTTATGTCAAAAAAGATTTCTCAGAGGAAAAGCCATCTGTAGCATATAATTGAATGTTTGTGTTTTTAGCCATTTAGGTGATGATATTTTGGTTTTTAATCACAGATTGTGGTTTCTCTCGGGAGTGGACCATTGGATCAGCTATTTGGTGGTAGTAACTCACCAGCTTTAGCTGTGGCAGCAGTTGCAGCCTTTGTCGGTGGGCTTATAGCCATCTTGGCTATTCCACGATCCAGGCCTATTAAGTCCAGGGGCCACCAATGAGGTAATTTGTTGTATCAATTTTTTGCAATTTTTTTTTTCTTTGTCAACACGGAGAGTAAAATGTGGACTAGTATCAAGAATTTTGTAAATGGTTTGTGTTATATTGATTTATAATAGTGTCATTCTTTCTGAATTTCCCTTGAGGTTTTTATTTGTTTTGTTTTTCTATGTATTCCATCATTGGAACTACCAATGAGCTGGATACAATCTCCACTTATTGGTTATTAACTTAGTAATGAGAACCCATGTGAAAAAAGCTTTAGTCCATGTGACAGATAAAGGTGTTCATGAAAAGAATTGTTTTATTATGATATTTGTACAACTATAATCCTCAGCATAGGGGAGTTCTTATTTCATTAGGCCTTCAAATCTGTAATGGTTTAAGCTCTTAAATTCAATTTTGAAATCCACATCTGAACTTCATATCTAAATTAGAGCTATTTTTCTTGAATGTTTAGTGCCCAAATATTTTCATTTTAAATCCATAAATCCAAATGCAACCTTAGGATTTTGCAACATGGATGAAGTTGACATCTGAACAAACTACTCTTACTCAACATACATACCAGACATCTTGCCACACAGTTTAAGCACAAAATGGCACTCTTAACTCATAATGCAACAGCAGTGACTGAATGTGATATGAAAGAAGTTGTCTGTGCATTTAGTGGAGAACTTCTTTGATGAGGAACAAACCCATATTGTAGAAAGGTTAGCTCTATGGCTAATCACCATCTAAAAGCAAATAGATTGCACGTTCTGGATTACTCTCCAGAATGACTTACCCAGATAAGTTGCTGTTGATGAGTGATTCGGATTTATTCCTCATGAAAAGTATGTGCCTTCCCTTCGGCATTGTTAATTTCCCATCAGCGGTTCAATCCAGGAGTGGACTTGTATAATAACACATCATGTCAAAAGAATATTTCTCAGAGGAAAGACCTTTAGTCATAAATGAATGTTTGTGTATTTAGCCATTTAGATGATTGATGTTTGGTATCCTCAAACAGGTTATGGTGTCTATCAGAATTGGACCGTTTGGTGTTGGTAAGTCACCAGCTCTAGTGGTGGCAGCAGTTGCAGCCGTTGTCATTGGGCTTATAGCCATTTTGTCTATTCCATGATGCAGGTCTGATAAGTCCAGAAACCACCAATGAGGTAATTTATTGTATCAAATTTTTGCATTATTTACACGGAAAGTAAAATGTGGACAAGTATCAAGAATTTTGTAAGTATATATTGTTCTGTTGATTTATAATAGTGTCAATTCATTTTAAATTTTCCTTACTAAAGGTTTTTGTGTTGTTTTGTTATTCTGTGTGTATTTCATTATTCGAACTACTGCTGAGCTGGATACAATCTTCCTTTACTGGTTATTGACTAAGTAATGGAAACTCGCACATGAAATAATCTAGGGAAAATAACGTAACAGTGGTATTTGGGGCAAAAATTTACAAATCAGTGGGAAGGTTTTTGAAATGACAGCTAAAGTGCAATTTGCAAAGTTTTGTTAGGTTCGTGTTACTTGTGCTTAGACCAAGTGCAATATGTGAACAGCTGCAAATTTTAACTGTGCTGGGTGTAAATGCAAACTGTGTAGGGTTTTGTACACTTGTAACTTGCACCGTGCACATATTACAAACTATGGGTTGGTTTCCACTTATTTGTTTTGCAAGTTCTATTTTAGCTGTAATTCTTAAAACCTTAGCAATGATTTGTAAATATTTGTCCCAAAGACTACTGTCATGTTAATTTCCCAATAATCTTTAGTCCATGTGACGGATAAAGAATTGAGTTCAGTAATAGAGCAGCAACAACATTGTTGTCTATGTGGGATGAAAATGACTCATTTATGGGCATAATATATGTTTTTGTTGCAACTATTGTCGGGCATATGCCAACTTTGAGTTCCTGTATTTGCAGAGCAACAACAACAATAGTGTAGTTTTGTGACATAAATGATGCGTGAATGGGCATGTTAGATGTGTTTATCTCACCTGTCTTCTCATAGATTCCAAGGAATATGCAACAGAGGAAGAGGTTATCGATCGATTGTGGCCTAGTGGCATCACCCCAACATTTCTACAAGGGAGGTTGGGGGTTCAAGACTTGGCATGGTGTTTGGGACTACCAATGAGCTGGATACAATCTTATTAGGAGTATTTGATATTAGAAATTGTTTAGCTTAATGTGTTTAGTTTTTCTTTTATTTCATGTATCTTCCAAAATATATTAAATAACTGTGCCTACCAACTAATATGTTGAGAATTTCCATTTTTCCATAGGTAGATATGAAGAAAAATTTGACGCTATGATTATGGAGCCATATTCTAGTGTCCCAGCATTTAGGGGCCGTTGGATAGATGGATTTCAAATAACAGAATTTGATGTTAAATTTTGGATTTCAAATGCTGTGATTTGATGTGAAATTTCAAAAGACTCACTCCCTTTGGTCCCTAAACTATCATTTTTTCCTACTCGGTCCAATTTCAACGATTGCTGTACTTTTTTTTAATGGAAAATGACACATAACTCAGGTTGACCCAGAACTAACCCATAGCCAAGGTAAATTCACGAAAATAGAGTAAATCACACTGTTTACCACTTGAAATATGTGCCTTTTCCTACTTTCTCCTTAAAAAGAAAAAACAAAAAAATTGCCTACTTTGATCCCTAAGCCCTTGGGATGGTCATTTTAATTCAATCTGCGGGGTCCGCCCATACCCGTCCAAAGAGGGTGAATTTTATTCGACTTGACACTTATGTAGGGGCAGGTATCGCCTCTACCAATCTAACAAAAATGCTTCGGACCCCCACTGGGGGTCGACCCCCAGTGAGGTGGCGGGCGGTGATTGGGCGAAAAAAAAAACTGTTTTATTTATTTATTTATTTATTTTTTGAGTTTCAACCAATGGAGGCTCGCCACCTCACTGGGGGTGCGACCCCCACTGGGGGTATGCAGCAAGATGACCCAATATAATTAATAATATATAAATAAATAATATATATATATATATAATATAATTAGATATATGAAAGGAATATTAAAAGTCTGTGATTCTGTTTAAATATAAATAAATAATAAATCAAAGAAATTATTTAGTGTGTTAAGGTTTTAAATGATTTTCAATTTTTTTGACTATTTGAAATGTGGTCGGGTATTCGCGTGGGTAGAGGCGGAGATGGGGTAGAAAAATTTCACTTGTAGCGGGGTTGGGGTGGGGGATGACAAACCCGTCCTAAACTCGTCCCATGACCATCTGTACTAAGCCCCCAAGAAATTGTTACTCAGAAAAACGAGGAAAAAAAAAACTGTGTCACAACTTGTTGCATCATCCACTAAAATGTTCATGCAACACTTGAACCTTCCCTTCCTTTTTACTTTCTCCTTCTCTTTCCTCCTCTATGCACCTTCTCACCCTACTACACCCAACCTCCCTCCTTTTCACCATTCCCCTAAAGCTCACCACCTCTCCCTTGCCAACCTGCCACCTGATCTCCTTGAATGACACATCCCATTGTATTTTTTTCATTTTCGTCTTATGTGAAGTTGGTTTTTGAGATTGGGTCAGTTTGTTGATGGGTTTTGAAGTGAGATGGTTTTGAGATTAGGTTGGGTTTGGGTTTGGGTTTGGGTTTGAGTTTGGGGTTACAAACCAAAGTGGAAACTTAATTTTCAAAACTGTGCCTCAACCGTGATAGAAGTTGGTAATTGGACTAAGGTAAGAAACGACAAATAGTTAAGCGACCAGACTGGAAAAATCTTTTATTTCAAGACCTAAATGAAAATTGAATCATACTTTAGGGATGAAAGTATAACTAACCCTTAAATTTTATAAAAATATAAGAGAGTTGGCTTAGTATAGATAGATCGTGAAACTAAAGGGGAAGGTAGAGTAGAGTAAGAAAAGAATTGTTTTTGTACGACTATAATCCTTAACATGAAGGATTTGGAATAACTACTTTTACATTATTATTTCAAATCAATAATGATAAAGCTCTCAAAGTCAAGCTTGAAATCCATATGTAAATTATAGTTATTTTTCTTAAATGAATAGTTCCCAAAAACTTTCGTTTCAAATCCACGAAACCAAACTCAACCTTATTCAACGTACATACCAGACATCTTGTTTAAGCACAAAAAATTGCACCCTAATTGATAATATTGCAACAGCCGTGATTGAATGTTGTATGAAAGAAGTTGTGTGTGCATTTAGTGGAGAATTTCTTTGATGAGGAACAAAACCCATACAGAAAGGTTAGCTTTAAGGCCAATCACCATCTAAAAGCAAATAGATTGCACATTCTGGATTGCTTTCTAGACTTCCTTACCAAGATAAGTCGCTGTTGATAAGTGATTGGGATTTATTCCTCTATGAATAGTATGATTCTTCCCTTTAATTGATTGCTCATCAGTGGTTTAGTTGTGATGTTGTGGAATATCATGCAGTTTGTGCATATATCTGCTGTATGGATATTTTTAATTGTGCTTGTTGGTGGGAACAGTTATGTGAAATTGTGCTGATTGAAGCCTTGATTGAGACACATCTCTTTTGTGCTTTGATTTTTTGGAAAGCTTACCTGATTTTTAGGGAGGATGATACCCTTTATTATTACTCTCTCTCTCTCTCTCTCACTTGAATTTTGCATTTGAACATTGGAATAAATTCTGAGTGTTTATTGCACGGAAGTATCTAGGGGAGTCTGGTTTGCCTTCAATGTTCCTATACAATGCTTGTTATCAATACCTGATAGAAACATTTAAAAATGCTGTCTTTTCTGTACGGGTTCATTCCAGAGTACTGTTAAATTTTTTAATGGAAACGCGACCGGAAGTGGAAAAAAAGAACTTCCATAGCACATTAATATGCACTGTCAGATTACCATGATGTACAATGTCATCATCCACATCCACGACATTTTCTCTCGCTATTTTTAAGATTCTTTGATTTAGAAGCCTCTTTAATTTTATGAATAACCACTGCGTATTGGGGGTGGTTAACATGAAATGTGTATAATGTGTGAAAAATGTATAGAAATATATAAAAGTGTATGAGACTGTTGAAATGTGTATTGAATTTTTAACGTCTAATGCTCAAGCGGGCTGTCCTTGGCAGGACTCTTCTTTAACTTCTAATGGTGGTCAATTCTGATGCGAGCTGTAAACTCGAATGTTTAGGGCTTGACTTGTGCTGGTGTTTTTCAACTTCACTAATATTTGTGAATATTTGTGATTTGTGTGTTTTGGGGTTTATTTTGTAGGGATGGGTTTAAAGGGACCTTGAAAAGGTTTCCGTTTTACAATAAAAAAAATAAAATTAGCATGTTAACCAACTGGGAGAGAGAGAGAGTAGACATTATCCTTTTGCAAAAAGGAAAGGTGAGGGATAAGAGTATCTGAATCTATTCTTGTTTCCATAAAGAATAATTATCTTTGAAAGTTGCTTGACTTCTGCAGTAAATCATCATCGTTGGGTCACAGGAACGGCTAATATTGAAATTACTTTTCGCTAAGAAAAGAATTTTTAGGGTTGGTTAGGTATTTTGCAATATATGTGAAAGAAAGAATAAGAATGACTTCCGGATTGGATGTTAGAAGAAGTGAATTAGGTTAGGTGCCGGTTTGATCCTTGACCTTTGTCTATTTTAATTCCTACAATTCAATGGTATATGCCTATGGTGTACCCCACTTTCCAGTTAGGATGGCAAATTCATTCATAAGTGTTATATTCAATGTATGTTTTATCACTTCTCTGTTTAGCATTCAACTGAGCAAGACAAGAACTGAGTGATGCTGTATTTAATAACAGTACACTCTTCTATATCTACCTTCTGTTCTTTTGCACAACTTATACTTGAATGAGCCAATGAGTCCATTAGTAGATTGTTCAAGTTTGACTTATTTGCTTTATGAGTCAATTTCAAATGAGTTTTAACTGAGTCGAACTCAAATAGCTTGTTTTTTTTACAGTGTGCTTCTCGAGTCAAGTAGTAAATTGTTCAAAAGTTTATGTGACTTCAGTTTGTTTACATTTTGGGCTGAGATGGCCTCGTTTGGGAATAAGTTAATTTAGTAACTTTTTGGCTATTTGGTTAAAAAGGTAGGTAAAAAAAACTTGTATGTTTGGGATGACTTTTTGGCTAATTACGAAAAGATGTGCAAAAAGTAGAGAGAAAAGAGAATCTTTGACTTTTTGGTATGAGTTGTTGGCTTTTTGGCTAATTTAGTAACTTTTTGCAAATGAATTTTAACTGAGTCGAACTCAAATAGCTTGTTTTTTTTAGTGTGCTTCTCGAGTCAAGTAGTAAATTGTTCAAAAGTTTGTGACTTTAGTTTGTTTACATTTTGGGCTGAGATGGCCTCGTTTGGGAATAAGCTAATTTAGTAACTTTTTGGCTATTTGGTTAAAAAGGTAGGTAAAAAAAACTTGTATGTTTGGGATGACTTTTTGGCTAATTACGAAAAGATGTGCAAAAAGTAGAGAGAAAAGAGAATCTTTGACTTTTTGGTATGAGTTGTTGGCTTTTTGACTAATTGGCTAAAAAAGTAAGTCTCCAAACGGGGCCTGAGTAGTTTAATTTTTTATAATGCATGTGTATATAGAGTTGAATATAATTGTTCAAGCTTGATTTCAAAAGTACCTAATTTTGAATGAGTTTTCAACGAATCAAACACAAATTGAGTCCAAATAATTTGATTGGTTTTACAGTCTTACTCAACTAAGATTTAAAAAAAAAAGAAAAAAAAAAGTATAAAACTTAAACTGATATAGGGACACGTGTTAGCTGACAAAGCAGGGGGGGTATGGTTTTGAAGGAAATGAATTGTTTAATATAAAGAAACAAAGAAAAAGCTTATATGATTCTTGAAATTGCCCAGTCTGTGAGTAAAGTGCTAGTTGTTGTTTGAAGGGCGAGAGTGGTGGTGATGGTAGGGGCTTCTGTTCTGTTGGGTTACAGTTTATAGACAAGATACAGAAGGGCCCCCCCACCCCTCTCGAATCCGATTTTGCTCACACTGTAAACAAAACATGCCTTTTAATTGATTTAAAATTGCAAAACTCATAAATTTAAATGAGATAAAAATAAATAAATAAATATATATATATATATATTTTAAATATATAGTTTTAGACCAATTAAATAGTATGTATTGTTCACACACACTTTGTTAGTGTGTGGACAAATTTAGTTTAGGCAGTCTCTCTCTATATCTCATCTCTCTCCGGTTATTATTGTTGTTGTTGTGAGAAAAGGGATACAAATTAAATGGTTGGAATAGGAGCACGTATTGGATTTTAGTGTTGTTGTTGCTGCTTCCTATCTTCCCATCTGCTGGTTCTCCATACAGCTATCTTTCTGTCACCCTCCCCATTAACACTTTGTGGTCCCTTGCATACAACATCTCCCACCCCCAACAAATATCCATGAAATTATCTTTTTACAAAAAAAAATTAGAAAAGAAGAAAAACAGGTAGAAAGATAAAAAGATCCATTAGATTTGACACATTTTGGCCAGCTGACATCCCCACCTCACAAGTTATGGAACAAATAAGAATACTACGTATTTAGAAAAATATTTATAAATAAAAAAATCTCAAAAATTGAAACATTTAGATCAGATTCTTTCTACGTGTAATTCATATATTTGTACCAAATTTAAAATTAAGAGCACTTTCTGTTTTCTTGATTTGTTGCATTTTTATTTAACAAATGCAAGAGAGAGAGGGTTTTGATTTTTTTTTTTTTTTTTGGATTGAAAATTGGAATGTCTTAAACCAAGAACCCGGTTACCTGGGTGGATTATTGATTGGGTAGATCATAAAGTAGGGGGCCACTTGATGATTATTAGGGACCTAACTAATCCCACATATCTAAGGCCCACCAAAAAATGGCCATGTAAAGATTGATTAGACTTACTGTAATATGATGTTTCATACATTACAAGAAACTCTCTTTGATGGTGCACAAATCTTTGTATGCTCCCAACCCCATTGTCGACTTCTATTAATCAGAAAACCTTACATTACTCTCCATTCTATCTGTTTTTTCAAACAAAATAAAAACTGACAAAAAAACTGATAATCGATGGGGCCTAAGACAAATTTCAATAGGCGTGTCCATGTCTCAAATTGGGGCAAGTATTATCATGCATTGAGTTGTCTATTTTTTTTTTATTTTTATTTTTTTTGTAATAATCGTGCAGTACTTCTCTGTTAAATTGCAAAAAATTCAAGTCATACTTGAACTAGGGTTGCATATCACATGGGAGGTAGTGCGAGTTGTAAGGGAATTGGAACATGCATGGGTAGCTTTTGAACATGCCAACATTTAATTTCCATGGCCACAATTCATTGCCATGTCATTTCACAATACATATATAGTAAGAATAGATCAACTGAAATTGCTTATCAATTCACCCCACTTGGCATTCCAAAGATAAGTTTTTATTCTTTTTCTTTTTTGGGTATGTATCAAAACCTGAAGAGATGGGTTAAAAAGATTATCCTCTTGAGAGGGGTTACACTAATTGAGCAAAAAGTTCAATTAAAATAGAGCAAACCTACCATTAAAAAGATTATCATATAAGGCTTGTTTCTTGGTCTGGAACCGCCATAGGTAAAAAACAATTATACCCACCAATCATTTGCATGGGGGCTTCACTATTGAGATAAGATTAGAGCTTCTTTTGCCCTTTACCATGAGGCACTTCTCTTATTTTTTAAGTGAACTCCACCCATTAAAAAAAAAAAAAATCCATCAATCTTGACAAATGTTTCAACAAAACAGAATCAAGTAAGTACGCATCGAAATGTGAAAATGTCACGTACAACAATCTCATTAATAATGTGTTTACACATCAAGTAAAATCAATTAAAATTTCATCATTGTGGAATTTGGAAAGATCAGATAGTATGAAGAGATTACTTTTACCTTTTTGGAATCCAAACTTCTTTGCTCTTCCTAACTTTGCCTCTATATAGAAGAACACAAATGTTGCAAAAAATGAAATTTTAGTAGTAGTCAGCATCCCTTCTTAGTTTTGGGTAGACGAAACCAATTATCATTCTGTTAAAACTTTTCTTCACATTCCTACCAGGTGAGATCTAGGCTTTTGTTTTTCAATGTATAATTTGAGATCATAGCATCCAAATCATAAGAATTTTTATTTATCAGTATATAAAAAGAACATAGTGTCACATCATTCTGTATAAAAAAATTGACCTGAAAAAGATAAGTAGGCCCAGAAAAGCATCACTTTAAACAAGTAACCGCTTTCCACAGCATTCCCCTTGCCATATTGACACGTTTGAGGGAAGCCAATGGAGACGAAGGTCCAATCCTTTCATGTGTATATATACTCATCTGATATCTCTTCATCCCCATTCAAAGCTCTCCAAAAGAAGAACACACACACACACACACTAATAAACCCATCCAATCTCTGCTCATTCTTTTCTTTTGCCTTCTTCAATCAACCTCCTTACCATTAAACTACTTCTCTTGTGTAGTTTTTAACAAGAAAGTTATTATCTCATATCATATCATATCATATATGTGTAAACCAAAGTCATCTTCTCCGTCATTGTTTGTCTCTTCTAACAAAGCCCATTTCATAAACCCCAACAAGACCATGGATCTTCACACTGATGATGATGGTCTTGGTCTTGATCTTGATCTTGATCTTGATCTTGATGATCAACTCCATAGATGGCCAACTCCTACTGAGGTAAACACAACCCATAACAACCTTTCACACATAAAAACATATATTTATACATTAGTCCCTTTTTATCTTTAAAAAAACAAAAACAAAAAAAAAAGCCAGTATCACATTTCTCATTTTCTTGCATGTTCTTGATTGGTTTTTCTTGCATTTTAGGCCCTGGAAGAAATCAAAGCCATAGGGAAGATCTCAGGCCCAACAACCATTACAGGGCTTCTACTCTTCTCCAGAGCCATGATCTCCATGATCTTCCTGGGCTACCTCGGCGAGCTTGAGCTCGCCGGAGGCTCTCTCTCCATCGGCTTCGCCAACATTACCGGCTACTCCGTGATCTCCGGCTTAGCCATGGGCATGGAACCCATCTGCGGACAAGCTTTCGGAGCGAAACAATGGAAGCTTCTAGGCCTCACTCTACAAAGAACAGTCCTCCTCCTCCTCTCCACCTCCATACCCATCTCTTTCATGTGGCTCAACATGAAGAGAATCCTCTTATGGTGTGGCCAAGATGAAGAAATCTCATCAGCAGCCCATACTTTCATCGTTTTCGCCATTCCAGACCTTTTCTTCCTCTCTCTTCTCCACCCACTTCGAATCTACCTAAGGACTCAAAATATTACATTACCAGTAACTTACTGTTCAGCCGTTAGTGTACTCCTTCACATACCACTCAATTTCATTCTCGTAGCCTATTTCAAGATGGGTATTGCAGGAGTAGCCATAGCAATGGTCTGGACAAACCTCAATCTCTTCATTTTGCTATGTTCATTCGTATACTTGTCGGGAGTGTTCAAAGACTCATGGGTTGCTCCGAGCATGGATTGTCTTCGAGGATGGTCTTCTCTTCTCACACTCGCAATCCCAACTTGTATCTCAGTCTGTCTCGAATGGTGGTGGTACGAATTCATGATTCTTCTCTGTGGACTCCTTTCAAATCCCAAAGCAACAATCGCTTCAATGGGTATTCTAATCCAAACTACCTCTCTAGTCTACGTCTTCCCATCATCACTCAGCCTCGGAGTCTCCACCAGAGTCGGCAACGAGCTCGGCGCCAACCGCCCAACGAAAGCCCGCATTTCGACCATCGTTTCCCTAGCCTGCGCGGCGGCATTAGGCGGCGCCGCCATGATGTTCACCACCCTGATGAGGCACAGGTGGGGGAAATTTTTCACTAAAGATTCCGAGATTTTGGAACTGACTGCAGTGGCATTGCCGATCGCCGGACTATGTGAGCTCGGAAACTGCCCTCAAACCACCGGGTGTGGGGTGCTGAGAGGCAGTGCACGGCCGAGTATCGGAGCCAATATCAATTTGGGGTCTTTTTACTTGGTGGGTATGCCGGTGGCGATTTATATGGGGTTTGTAACGAAAATGGGGTTCGCCGGACTGTGGCTCGGGTTGCTTGCGGCTCAGGCGACCTGTGCTTTGCTCATGATTTTTGTCTTGTACAAAACAGATTGGAAGCTTCAGGCAGAGAGAGCTAGAGAGCTCACACAATCTTCTTCTTCTTCATTTTCTTCTGTATTACCGATATCAATGTCGCCAGAGAATGGTGTTGAGGGGATGATGAAGAAGAAGAAGAAGAAGATGAGTAATTTGGAAGATATTTTGTGCAGTGATAACAATAATGGTGAGTTGGTGAAGACAGCTTCTTCTCCGCTTGAAACAGAGCCTCTCATATCTACTACTACTGCTACGACTACCACAAAGATTGTTGTTCATTGATTAGAGTACTTGCTTGTCCATGGCCACCATTTTTTTGCCCCCACTCTTTGAAGAGTTGATGTGAAAATTGTTCTTTAAAATTAACTCCATTGTACTGTAGAGTGGAGAGCTTTTGTTTGTACTTTTTATTCCTAGCTCTCTCTTGCTTATTTGCTCTACTTTTTTAAAAAAAACAAAAAACAAAAAAACAAAAAAACAAAAAACAAAAAATTTAAGATGCTGTAATAATGTAATTGCATAATAAAAATGGAAGAACACATCTTGTGTTAGTTCTCCATACTACTGTCATTGAAAGCTGAGAGAACTCCAATGCCACTTTATAAAGTGGCATTATAAACAAATAAATAAGATACTTTGGAAAATTCTTAAAATTCAAAAGATATGAATTAGATTTATTTGGTGCGGTCGATACTTAACAAATTTTAAGTGTGTGCAGGGGTTATGATTTTAAACCACTTATCAAAAATTAACTTTTACACGATACACTAATTTTAAAAAATAATTACATGTAAAAATAGAATTTGAGACATTAATGTTATATTTTTACAAAATAAGCAAAGGTGTACACTTTTACAATCAGCAATGTTAGGTATCATGAAAAACCTTTCATGAAAATAATCATGAAAGCTTTGTGATATTTGGATTACACTTAGAATAAAGCACTACACATTAATCAAGGTAATCCAAGAATCATAAATCTTTCATGATCATTTTCATGAATTTTTTTTTATAATTCCTAACTTTTCTCCATTTACAATTGCATACTAATATACATTATGAAATCATTCACGGTAAACGAAACCTCCTGAAATGCTTGATTCATGCTGGTTGTCACAATCTTGATGTATTTGTTTCATTGTTTGATTCATTAAAATAAATACAGAATATCAACATTCCATACGAATGTTAAAAGAAAAGTCATCTGATACAGATTAAAAAATAATTATTTCATTCTACTTTCATTATACTTTTGTTTTTATAATATTTTATTTTTAGTTTTATATTTCTTAGTATTTTTATGAGTACATAAGATTAAGATTTGTGATAGAGAAAGTAAGACAGAGAGAGAAGAGGGAGTTTAGCTGTCGGTTGTTTTAAGGGTGAGGAGGATCCGCCTACCTTTTTTTATCGATCCCTTTTTTTTTCTTTTTTTTTCCTATATTAGGCCACAACATTGACTACCCTAAAATGGAAATTAGGATAATACTTTTTTTTATCAATCTGATTTGCCAAAACAACCCCCCTCTATCTATCTTCTTTCTTTCATACATCTTTTAAAAATGAAAAATAGTATGGAAGTCTATTTTCAAGTTTAAATACTCATTTTTAAGATTCAGTGATTTGTAGAAAAGAGGATTGACTGATGATTAAAAAAATATGAGAGCGAGAGTTACCTTAAATATTTTAATAGACTGTCAAATCATTAAATTTAAAAAATAAGTCTAATTTTTAAATTAAAGTAACACTACTTTTTTTAAAATCCTTTCCTTCACCAAAATGAATTCTCCATACCCCTCCTACAAGCAGCCTTTAGCTTAGAAAACCATTCATCCCATTCTGAGATAGCTTAAACTTGTTTCTTTTTATAGTAAAAAAAAATTAAAAACCTTATTAATTCATTTATCATTTAATAATAATAATTTAAAATTTGATACAGATGCTGCTTCGATAATACAATAAGTATCACATTAATAAAAAAAAATATAGCATATTTTTAATTGTTTAAAAAAGTAATGCAATGATACTCGAATAAAGTCGTGGGAAACAATTAAAATCAAAAGTTATATTTCATTGATTTAATGGGTTTTTAATTTTCAATAACAATATAGATACACAACAATAATTTATAATATTTATATGAGTGTGAGTCTCATATTCATGTAATAAATTAATGAATTAGTTTGTGTAGCAATAAATTTAAATGCATACCAATTTTTTTATACATATTGTGTATCTATTCTATTACTTAAGCTGGCTCAATTTTGCAATAAGCAGTTCATGTCAATTATAATATTAAGGGAAAATATCATTTTGGTGAGAAGTAAAAATTAATATTTACCAACTCAATGGAAAAGTTTTTGAACTGCTATTTGAATATTACAAAACTTTACATTAATCATATTTTTTCTACTTATACTGAAATGATATTCCATATTCCCACTTCCCTTTTTCACTAAATATATTTTATATAATTTTTGCCAAATGACAAAATTATCCCTTTTCAGAGATGAAAAAGGGGAAATGTAAAGGTTTGAGAAGGGGCAATTTTTGGTAGTTGACAAAAGTATAAAAGGTGTATTTGGTTTAAATGGGAGTAGGAATAGGACCACCCTATCAAAGCTTCAATAAAGCTTTTATTTTTTTTCTGTGAAAATTGTTTTCTGCATTTTTTTTTTGATGTAATAAAAAATAAAAGTCAATAAAATATTTTCGATGGTCAATGAAAAATAAATTTATTTGACCATAAAATATTATCCATGTCACCATACGACCATTACCACCACTCACCACCCTTATCATCCTACCGGCACTTGACACTCTCACCATTGGATGATGGTAAATCATAAAGTAACTATAATAGTAAATGGAAGAAAAAATTAGTGGAATATCTCTCCAACTTTGAGTAGTAGGAGAGGTCTAATATTTTTTTTTTGTTAGCTGAAATTCCTCAATAATATTATTAGAAAAATTCTGGCTCGTCACAGATAAATTTCTCTGAAGAGTTTAAATTTCTCTATAAAGAGCTAAAATTTCGCTATAAAAATATTGAGAGACTCCAATTATTATGAAAATATTACATATCTTTTATCTTATAAAAACGTCGTTTTGGCCATTTGAGCCACTTTTGAGCCACAAAATTTGAGCTACGTAGCATTGTCGTTTTTTTGTTAGTTGAAATTCCTCAATAATATTATTAGAAAAATTCTGGCTCGTCACAGAGAAATTTCTCTGAAGAGTTTAAATTTCTCTATAAAGAGCTAAAATTTCGCTATAAAAATATTGAGAGACTCCAATTATTATGAAAATATTACATATCTTTTATCTTATAAAATTTTAATATTGAGAAATTTAAACTAAAAATCCCTAAATGCAAACCAAATTGTTTATGCATATTATATATCTATTCTAGTACTTTCTCTTTTTCTTTTTTCCAATCATTAGAAAGAATATAGGAAAGGAAAATTTGTATAATGTAATACTCGAATTTAGACACGATGTTGGTAAAAGAGCAACTTACTAAGGACATTCCAGTCGGTTATAATATTAAAACTTCATCTAGTTTTGAACTATTTAGGATTAATTATAATATTTAGAACTTCATTTTTTTTCTTTAGTACATCAGAAATAATTTAGGACTTCATTTAGTGTTTGAGCTAGCGGCCGAGGCACACGTGATGCATGTGCAAATTTAGAAAAAAGTTATGCAATTGAGGTGATAAAAATTGAATTAAAGAAAATTGCTTTTCAATTGATAAAATTTTTAATGCATCCTCATTCAAATATTTTTTTTAATTTATATATTCAATCGCATAACTTTTTTTGAATTTGATACGATATATATACACACACTCTCATATACTTTTGCATTATCTTTGAGTTTTTTTTTTTTCCTGAGTTTTTAATTTTTTAATTTATTTTTTTCCTTATTTATTGAATCTCTTTAAATTAAGAATGAGGATGTATTCAGTTAAGAATATTGAAAATATTCACTTTTTTAATGTATCCTCATTATTTATTATTATTATTATTATTTTTTTTTTTTTGTGTGTGCAAATTTTTTTTTGAAAAGTTTAAAATACTATTTTTTGGAAACAGTTTGGAAGTTGAAAGGTACTTTGCCTACCTTTCAAGGAAAGATGGAAAGGAAAAAAAAATTAAAAACACAATGAATAAAAAAAATTATTACCTGTACAAGAACGAAATATGTCACGACCTAAATTCGCCCCTATGGGTTTAGCACCGTAACCGGCCAGTAATCTGAGATTACCGAAGGCCTGCTTAACAGTAAAACAGTAATACAGAGTACAGGGGCTGGCGGAAGCCAAAACACCAGTAATCCGAGATTACCGAAGGCCTGCTTAACAGTAAAACAGTAATACAGAGTACAGGGGCTGGCGGAAGCCAAAACAGTAATTAAAAGATGTCCAATGAGCTGTGACAGTCTATATGCAAAAAGACTTTTTAAAGCATATTCACATTCAGGACAAAACAGTACTATACATACATATACAAACATTCGGGTTAGGGACCAAGTCCCTACCATAATAGTACAGTACAGGTCTATACAGTCTATATAAAATAGATATAGAAATGAAGAAATCTAAAACACTCCGAAGCAGCCTTAGCTTGGCAGCACTTGGAACCTCAAGGTGAGGCACGATGGTTAGCTTGACAAAACAAGAGCTAATCCGACGCTCCTAACTCTGGTCCGGTGCCTGAACACCTACACATATATATATATATATATATAAGCTAAAGCCCAGTGAATAACATACGCGTAAAGAGGTTAAGAATGAATGTCTTTTCGGTATTGAAAACAGTCATTTATCAGTATATCAGTCATTCAGTTTGTGGCTCATAATTCATGCCATAATAGTCATTCAGAAACTATAATAGTCATATGTAGTACATTCAATAGCAAAACAGTACAGTAGGTCTTAACAGACCGAGCAGTCAATGATGGCCATCATATCAGTAAATAGTATTGGTTCCAAACGTGGGAACCGACAGAGATCTTTGTAATAGTAGCGGTAACAGTTCAGTAACAGTAAATTGCTATGGATGCCACGAATACAGTTCACAAATAGGACAAACATTTATTCAGTAAACAATGTCGTTTCATAAAGCAGTACAGTCATTTGTTCAGAAAATAATCTCAATTGAACATATCTTTACAACATTGTTACTCACAGAGCACTGGGCTATAAGCAGCTAGAGCGTCCTCGGATGCCAACCCTACACAGTTACAGAACGAACACACACTAAGCTACACAGTTGGGAAATAATAACTTAATCCCTAATTTGCCTCGGTGTGGTTCTACATCAATATCCTCATTAACAGTTGAGAAAATAATAACTTAATCCCTAATTTGCCTCGGTGTGGTTCTACATTTATATCCTCATTAAGATGCCTTAAACTAGGCCTAGGAGTGCCTAGGATAAAATGAGGATTCAAAGATGTACTTTAAAACACTTTTCAAAATTTTCAGAAAACAGGGGTCTCGCTTGAGCGTGGCTTTCTACGCTCGAGCGGACATGCAGACAAAGGAGCTCCGCTT